GGGGTGTCTGGGGGGTTCGGGGGAGAGAGGGGGAGCGATCCACGACGTCACCGGGCGAGGGGAGCGGCGAGGCGGCGAGCAGGTGCGTGGCGCGCGCTGCGGTCGCCGTCGGGCACCTGCCTGCCTGCCTGGCCGGCAAGCAGCTCGCTGGAGCGGCGCTGGGCTGGGCCGGCAGGTGGGCCGGGTGCTGGGCGCCAGGTAAGTCTTTCTATTTTCTCCTGTTTCCTGTTTTTTTTAATACTTCTGCAACTTTGTTGATTATTAAAAATACTTAGGCAACTCCTAAAATCACCAAACTACTCCTGGTCCATAGTTGGATTATTTCCAACATGAAACATTTTAGTTTGGAGATATTTGAGCATCTGAATATTTTATATAATTTTAAATGCCCAAATTCAAATATCTATGATTTAATTCAAAGACCCTAGGATGACCTAGGAAAATGTGCATCACTTTTGGCAGGGGTTCTGAACCAAGACAAAAATGATGGGCATTTTAGAAGGGCATTTCAGGTTCATTGAAAAAGTTTTTAGTAAACCCTAGTTGGTTTCAGAGGGGGCTGGGGGTTCTGTCATCCCCATTTCAGGTTTCTGATGAAAGAATAAACATGATGCAACACCCTAATGCATGAACTAGCTAGGGTGTGACATGTATCATCGTATTCAGGGAACCCATGGTCAGGATAGCTGTCGTCGTCCTCTTCTTCATCATTGTCTTCCATCATAACCCCTCTTTCTCCGTGCTTGGTCCAAACATTATAGTGGGGCACGAAACCGGACTTAAACAGGTGGACGTGAATGGTTCTTGACTTAGAGTAATTTAATCCATTCTTACAGCCAGCACATGGACAAGGCATAAAACCATCCGCCCGCTTGTTTGCCTCAGCCGCAAGCAGAAAAGTTTGCACGCCATTAATGAACTCGGGAGAGCATCGGTCATCGTACATCCAATTGTCGGCTCATCTTCAATACACAGCACCGAAAACACCAAATTAATACAATACATAAAGTTCATACAACACTTAAATGCAACAAACAAATAACTCTCTAGCTAAAGCATTTAAATGCAACAACAAATGTGATCAAGATCGCAACTAAGGTAACAATTGATCCAACAGCATAATGATACCAAGCCTCACTATCGATGGCATATTTTCTAATCTTTCTAATCTTCAAGCGCATTTTCTCCATCTTGATCTTGTGATCATCGACGACATCGGCAACATGCAACTCCAATTCCATCTTCTCCCCCTCAATTCTTTTCAATTTTTCTTTCAAGTACTCGTTTTCTCTTTCAACTAAATTTAACCTCTCGACAATAGGGTCGGTTGGAATTTCCGGTTCACATACCTCCTAAAAAAATATCTATGTCAACCTCATGGGCATAATTTGTCATAAACACGAAATGAAACTAGTTTTAAAAGAGAATATATATACCACATCCGAATCATAACAAGGACGAGGGCCGACGGGGACGGATATCAAAACCATGGCACTATGTATAACAAACAACGTACGGGTAAGATAATTATACGAGTAACTATATATCCAAATCACACAAACATCAATTTTTATATAAAATTTCATGAACAAGAGGCTCACCACAAGGTGGTGCCGGCGACGGGACGGTGCGGGCGATCGACGGTGGTTACGGCGGAGATTTTGAAGGCACTAAGTAAACCACACCTACATATGCAAACTAAGTGTTATTTTTGACCTCAGATTGCATATAAATCAAATACTAGCACATATAATTCCTCCCAAATTACTAAACTCACAAATTAAACACTATATAAAGCATTGCAAGAGCTAATCTAGCAATGAGAGATGAAGGACAAAATTGCTAACCTTTGTGATCATTTGAATCGATGGGGACCTTCAAATCTTGACAAATTTTGGGTAAAATGTGTGATTAGCTCGAGAGGAAGAGGGGAAGAACAGAGAGGGAGGGGAAAGGGGAAGAACAGAGCGAGCTCGGCGGGTGGACGAAGGGTTTATGTAGGACGACCTTTAGTACCGGTACGTGACACGAACCAGTACTAAAGGTGCTGGAGGGGCCCCAGACTGACAACATCCTGCCATCACTCTTATTTGTACCGGTTCGTGGCACGAACCGGTGCTAAAGGTTCGCCACGAACCGGTACTAATGAGAGCGGTCCGGCTAGCCGTTGGAACCGGCACTAATGGACACATTAGTGCCGGCTCAAATTCAAACCGGCACTAATGTGCTTCACGTTTGACCCTTTTTCTACTAGTGTGGGGATGTACGTCCAATCACCTAACTTTCTCGCCCACTATGCTACTAGTAAAAGAGAAATTTCGATCGACAGGCGGCCAGGCCTCTGTTGCCCCCTGTCTCCCTACTGACCGCAAAACAAGTAACTCCGAAACAAACCTACTCCCTCCTTCCATGTATATAGGGCCTAATACGTCTTTCGAGGTAGCCTCTGACCAAAGATAAAATTATTAGTATATGAGATATATGACATAAAAATTATATCATTAGAAACTTCTTTCGCATACGAATTCGATAGTATGCTTTTGTGTAACATGCCTGTCATATATCATTGTGCTAACCTGTGGTCAAAGGTAACCTCGAAAAATGTATTAGGCATTATATAAGTGGAAGGAGGGAGTATAAGAAATCATAGTTTTAAATAGCAAGCTATGCCAAACAGTGCCATCCTGCGCAAATTGCTATAGCAGGGCTATAGCCCGCTATTTTGTGGAGAATTGTACATGAATAACATTTAGGAGCACTCTGCTCAAGCAACTATAACGAGGCTATAATCGATAATTAAATTCGGAGCTTGGGCTCATCTACATCCGCTGAACAGTAAAATATAGTAAAAAAAATTTAAAAAATCTGAAACTTTTTGCATGCAAGATGGTACAGTGTGTCAGATGCATGCAAAAATTAGTGGGTAAACCACATTCGAGGAGCTCACGTAAAAAATCAACTATATACAATGCATTTTTTATAAATCTCTCACATGTCCGAAATTTGTATTTTTTTGGCACGAGCTCCTTGAATGTCCACCAAATTTGACACGGGCATCACTCATTCAACCATCTTGCGCAAAAGTTTGTTTTGTTTGTTTTGTTTTGCTATTTTAAATCGTTTTTACTGTGCGCACCTGACAACATTTAGGTCTGGATGCAGATTCGCGGCATTCGGCTATAACCGGCTATTTAAAACTTTGCAAGGAACCGACCAGAATAACATTTTGAACTTTGGTTCGTGCCTTGGTGATGTATTGAAGCAAACCTATAGATGCAAATACGAAGCGACGAAACTAGTGAACCTGACCCTTGAGTTATCTACCGTAACCTGTTTGCTTTGACACTGCAGGCAACGGCACGCCCGCTCGCATTCCTCTGCCTTATAAATGCCCTCCACCTCCTTGGCTCCCCAATCAGATCGAATCCCTCTTTCCTAGTGCATCCACACACTCCATTCCACTGCCTCTTCCGCTCCACCCCGTGGAGATGGGGGTCACGGAGTGCGACGACGGGCCGGCGATCGGCATCGACCTCGGGACGACCTACTCCTGCGTGGCCGTCTGGAGGAAGTCGCACAACCGCGTTGAGGTCATCGCCAACGACCAGGGCAACTTCACCACGCCGTCCTGCGTTGCCTTCACCGATGCATGGAGGCTCATCGGCGACGCGGCTGTGAACCAGGCCGCCATGAACCCCGTCAACACCATCTTCGGTGAGATCAGATATCTTACCCTAGCTACTCCTTGATGCATAACTGCTTTCATCTTACACCTGCGGAGTAGAATTTTAATTTATGCTAAAAGCTTATTCTCTTCGGCTACCAAATGATTAGTCCGATAGCCTTTTTGTGTAATTATTAGTCCAATGCCAGATCTTTTTTTAGGGGAACCGCTGCCATCCGCTTCCAGATCTCTGACTTTGTTTAGGAGCAGTTCTATTCCTACGTATGAGTTATACGAAAAATTTAAGCGACGGTTAGCTAAAATCAGGGAGCAGTCACCAAACTTTTTTTTTTTGACATCAGGAGCAGTCAGCCAGTCACCAAGCTAAGTGAACAGTTTGCACAGTTTTTTTGGTGATAGGGATTCCATTTTCTGTGTTGATTTCTTCTCCCAAAAGTTTCTTGACTAGTTTCTTATCCCAAGATGATAGTAATAACAAAGAATTTTTTCCCAGAAAAAAAAAGTGGTATCTGTTTCGAGAAAAGGTAGTATATCTGATTATGGCACAATATACATTTGTTTAGTTTCCGCGAAGCTAGCAAGCCCTTCCAACTTATCATTAATTCATATGCTGGTGCAAGCTAGCTTTACATTGAAGATGCACGGGTGGTCTGTGTATGCGATTTGTACCATAATGTGCAGAGTGATTTACTCACACGTCTCAAAAGAAAGTAAAATTTGCATATCTATTAATTTTCTTCTTCTGAATGTTTGCATGGCTATATCCTTGCTAGAAAAAATACACATGACCAATAACGAATCTTTATTCCATTCAGATGTGAAACGACTTATTGGCCGGCATTTTAGCGATGCGTTGGTGCAAGGAGACATCAAAACGTCCACGTGGCCATTCAAAGTTGTCTCAGGTCCCAGCGACCGGCCGATGATCGTGGTGCAGTATATGGACGAGGAGAAGCAGTTTAAGGCCGAGGAGATCTCGGCCATGGTTCTCGGCAAGATGCGGGAGATCGCCGAGACCTACCTCGGCACCGAGGTGAAGAATGCTGTCATTACCGTCCCGGTCTACTTCACGGATTCCCAGAGGCAAGCAACCATTGATGCCGGCACCATCGCCGGCCTTAATGTCATGCGCATCATCAACGAGCCCTCTGCCGCTGCCCTTGCCTATGGTTTGAGCAAGATGTCACCCAGTGACGAAGTCAAGACTGTGCTTTGTTTGATCTTGGTGGCGGTACCTTGGACGTCTCCATTGTCAAAGTAGATCCGAGTGCCCACATTGACATGGGCATCTTTCAGGTCAAGGCCACGGCCGGTGACACCCACCTCGGCGGCGAGGATTTCAACACCCACATGGTAAAACACTTAGTGCGGGAGTTCCTTAAGAAGTACAAGATGAATGACATCAGGAAAAACCCAAGGGCGCTTCGCCGGCTCAGGACGGCCTGCGAGAAGGCCAAGAGGGTGCTCTCCTGTGCGTCCCAGGCCACCGTTGAGATCGACTCGCTTCACGACGGCATCGACTTCCATGGGGTCATCACCCGCACAAAGTTCGAGGAGCTCAACATGGACCTCTTCAGCAATTGCATCGTGCATGTGGAGAAGTGCCTGAGCGACGCCAAGATGGACAAGTCTATGATCGATGACATCTTGCTCTTGGGTGGCTCCTCCCGGATCCCAAAAGTCCAAGAGCTCCTTCGGGATTTCTTCGACGGGAAAGAACTCTGCACAAGTATCAACCCGGACGAGACCGTCGCCTACGGTGCCGCTGTAAAGGCAGCGCTCCTCAACGACGAGGGCTTCAAGGAAGTGCGGGATGCAGTCCTGCTCGAGGTCACCCCGCTCTCACTTGGGGTGGAGACGGAAGGTGGTGTCATGAGCGTGCTGATCCCGAAGACCACTACCATCCCGGTCAAGAAGGAGAGGGTTTACACGACTTGCTACGACAACCAGACCCAGGTGCTGTTTCTGGTGTACCAAGGCGAGGGGTCGGAAACCAAGGACAATATCCTCCTCGGGAAGTTCACTCTCGGTGGCATCCCCCGAGCGCCCAGGGGCGAGCCGAAGATCAACGTCACCTTTGAAATCGATGCTGACAGCATACTGCAGGTACGGGCAACAAGAACATAACTATCACCGATGACTAGGGGCGGCTGAGCGTGGAGGAGATCGAGCGTTGATGCGTGATGATAAAAAGTACAATACTATCACCTTTGAAATCGATGCTGACAGCATACTGCAGGTACGGGCAACAAGAACATAACTATCACCGATGACTAGGGGCGGCTGAGCGTGGAGGAGATCGAGCGTTGATGCGTGATGATAAAAAGTACAATACAGAGGACATCTGGAAAATGTAGAAAAGCGGAGGCGTATGGGTGGCCCAGGCTTGAGGAGGCTGAAAAAGAATTCATGCTGGCCTTGTCTCGACGTTTGGCACTTGCGCAGGTGGCGCTCCTCGTCGAATTTAAGTTTTTGTTTTTCAGAACCTATTATTCTGGCCGTTGTGATTTCAAAAACGGTGGTGGTTCAACGTCCTGTCTGCTTGAATACCTTCAGTCTTTTGTACGATTAAATCTAGTTGTTGAATTGTTTCAAAAAAACATGCGGGCCATCATAACTTTGATGCTTTGGGAGCTATTGAAACACTAGAACTCTTTGAGGCTGGTCATAGTGGGAGAAACATAGATGTCACATAAACAAAAATGGTGAGGTGGCAAGTAGTTAATGAGGAGAGAGGCAAATAGAGTAGCATAATATGTTATCATCACATAGCGCTTTTCAATGCAAAATGGACACATCTATGTTACCACATGTATGCCACTACCCACAATGAAGATAGTAACATAGATTAGTAACATATGTATGCTACTAGTCTAAGTTACTCTCCACTATGACCAGCTTGAGGGTGCCTCGCCTTTGCTAGAGGTGGTTGTTGATGTTAAACGAGAGAGAAGCTGGACTGCTCAAGATTCTACTTTATTTTGAAACTTTAAAATGTTTTGTAGCTCAAACCGACGGTCGAATTGAAAAACCATTTTGACATAAAAAAATTGATGGACGAGACCTTTACAACTAGATCCTATGTTGGTATGTATCAACAAAAAAATTTCAGGTCAAAATTACCAGACCTAGTATAAGTTATCGTGCATGCACAATGCATATTACCATGTTGTTCGAAGAGAAGTCATCAGGGTTATGGTCTTTTAACAAACCCTTCCACCATGTCCAAAACTTACCCACGGCACCCCTCATCAAGGCTACAATGGTGTTTGTGCCTAAGTTATGCGGTGTATCTATTGACATCATGTTCACACGGAAGTTATCGGGTGTGTGTATTCAACAACTATTTTGCCCAAGTAAAAAATTATCGCAATGCTTGTACCTAAGTTACCAGGTCCGTGGTACGTATATTACCGTACTATTTAACAAAAAACTTATTGGCGATATGTTTTCCAACAACATCCTCCCCCATCAAAGTTACTGGGGTGTTTGTATGTAAGTTATCGGGTATGCGATGTGTCTATTACCATCATATTTATAAAGAAGTTACCGGTGGTTTGTTTTCCAACAACACCCATGCCCCATCAAAGTTAGTGCGATGTTTATATCTAAGTTATCAGGTCTGCGGTGTGTCTATTACCATCATATTTATATAGAAGTTATCTGTGTTTTGTTTTCCAACAACTCTCCCCTTCCCAACCACGTCAAAGTTATCGCGGTGTTTGTATCCAAGTTATCAGGTCTGTGATGAGTCTATTACCAGCATATTTATAAATAAGTTATCAGTGGTATGTTTTCCAGTAACCCCCATACCCCCCTCAAAGTTACAGTGGTGTTTGTACCTAAGTTATCAGGTATGCAGTGTGTCTATTAC